AGTGGTACATATTAGCTTTTAGCAAGATCTCAGTGCTTTGAACCATGATCCAGTGCTAACCATCGGCAGCCTCTTCAAGACTTGTGTATGTGATTTGATGGGTATGTGATTATTGAAAAGATCACAGACATTGGAAATGGCCAAACCTCAAATATGCACCTTAACTCTGGCGTACTGCTCTGGAGGACTTATTGAACTACTCAGAGCCTCAGTTTCTACTTTTGTAAAATGGAAGTAATATAATAATAATAATAGTACCTGCTTCAAAGAGATGTATGAATAAATTGTGCACCTTCTCTGATTTTATTCAAGTGATGAATGAAAACATTTGACCAGAATGGGAGTCAAGGCTGAACCTTGTATCACACTAGCCTCTATTAGCCTCTCTCTTAGTTGAATAACCACCAGTCTTTGAGCACATCTGCCCCATCATCCAGCCCCTATAGTTTCATCTTTCAGGTGTATGTGGACAGGCTTTGTCAAATGTCATATTAAAATCACAAAAATCTAATCACTAAGGTAGATTTCTTTGGACCCCCTGAATGCATTTTTCCTGCTTCCATCTCAGACTTCAGACTTCGAGTGAACAGGTACTATTTTTTAAAATTCTTATTTAGTCCCTCCTTGTTCTTCTAAAGGCTGTATAGAGGTCTCTAGTTTCTAGGCTACTACATTTCCTGAGGAGACGATCCTTAGACAAAGTAACTTGCATTTCCCTGGTTTGTTTTAGTAGTCATTGTAGAAAAAATGATACATGTGTTAGCCAAGACAGATCTCTCATTTCACTTGAGGGTTACATGTGTGCACACACATGTGTGCCTGATAATGCAACAGGGCTTAAATTACATCTTTGGGAAGACTTGCTATTATCTGTCTATTCAGTATCTCCACTATCAAATCAGAGCTTAGATTCCTCATCACTTTTGCTGTCATCATGGACAATTAGGATTCAGGAGAAGCAGACAGCCTGAAATTTAATTCAAACCTGCAATTCAATCCAAATGCTTAAAATCTGGCTGCGGTGGAGTAGTTAGTGAAGGCAGAAATGCCCCCTAGGAAATCGTAACGAAGAGTCTTAAGTGAGTCCTTTCATTGACAACTTTATCCAAGAAACCATCTTCCCTGGAGACTTTTCCAAACTTTAGACTAATCCTCTCCATGCCACAGAAGTCCTTTTGTTGGGGGAAAATCATACGCGGATGCAGGAGTGACAGGCCTCTGTAAGCATCAGCTCTGCCTCTACATTCTTTCAATTGTCAGTCTCCCATCTGTCCTGTTGCCCTTCTGGCCCAGGGATCTTGCTGTCAAATAATAAAATGGATGAAATTATTCAGAAGTCCAGAGTATTTCAGTCTATGTCTAATTGTTGAGCCCGTCATTGTTAAATTCAAGGCAGATGACAATAGCAATAACCTTTCATTGCTTTTTCTGCAAGTATTATGTACCATTGCCCCAGACATCATGTTTAAAGTATGCCAGGACACAGGTGATAGTATAACACTCCTGGTCCAGTGTGGAGTTCGACTTGAAGCTTCTTAGTAAGCTGAAGCAAATCAAAGCAGAAACAGCAGTAACGAGACCTGGAAGTGAATGAAGAATAAACTAAATCAAAATAATGAATAATGTACAGATTAAAACATGCTAAATATTACTGCAAAGTTGCTGATGGAATTATGTATATTGATAGAAAAAGTGATAATAAATTATAAGAGGCAACATCTTATCCCTGATAATAAGAACTAAAAACTGTTAAAATAGTCAAAATCTATCTTCCATGTACAAACTACAGTTGTTCCTCACCATACCCCACAGTTCAAAACACGCCAAGTTTTGAAATCGTTTGTGCAAACTGTCTGGCACTTGGTCTGTACCCAGCACATTTTACTTGCCCTCTATTTCTTTATCATAGACATTAGTATACATTTTTTCCATGCCTGAAACTGACACTTTGAAGATCTTTAAAAGTCTTAATTTTGAGGCATTGCTGCCAGTTACAAGCCCTGATATTCCAATTTACATTTTGAATCTCCTGAAAAATGAATATTTTAACATAAATTCAATTTAGTGGAAAAAATTTACAGGCCCCAAGTGTCCTTGTGATTATCACTTTTAGTCTTTTTAACTCCAGCACTCCCAGATTTTGCTGATCCCAAGCCATTTATTAAACAGTTTAATTGCTAGAGCTTTTCCCTATTGCGGTTCTTCCATGCGTTTTATCTCCTTACATTAGTACCAAGGGCTGAGGGATAGCATAAGATTGCTCCAAGAGGCTAAATCTGCCTCCTCCCTTCTCCAACCGATGGCATAGGCACTGAGTTTGACATGCTGCATTTAATTGATTTTCTTTTGTGACCAATTTACATCTGCAAGCAATGATTTTTTTATGGGAAGTCACTGTAGATCAGAAAGTTATGGTTATCTCCCTCCCTTCTGGTTGCTTAGTAAAACAACAACAATAATAATAATGCTTATGGAAGCATCATCATCTGGGACCATTTCCATCAATGTCTTTGAAAATTTTATGAAGGCCAAGTCCTTCACTTTATAGGATGTAGCTAAAGCACATCCTATTCTCTTAACTAATGGGTTTGATTGACATAATTACACAGTAAAATTTCTGCTCTAGAAAATATTTTGCTTGGGAAATAGCATATTATTGTATTGCCTATTGTAATTCTAAATACATAATTCCATAGGTATAATTCTAAATTTCTCTTATCTTTCCAAATTTCAAAATAAAACGCTCTTAAAAGGTCCAGAAGGCAGATATCCTTGATATGTACATGCCTTTAAATAACAACAGCCAAAGAGAGATCCTAGAGAGTTGCAAAGAGCTGAATCCTGCCATATGAATGATGTTGGCACGGGGGTGGGGGTGGGAGTATATCACTGGTTACCATCTAGGCCCAAAAGGTTCTGTTATGAAGCAAGGCCTAGTTGCACTTAAAAATATCAAAAAATGTTAGAAGATATTTCCAACTCTCATAAAAATCTTAGCTCTCTGTATCAGCACTGTTCAACAAAACTTTCTGCAATAATGGAAATGTTCTATATCCACATTATGCCTTATGGTAGCCACTAGCCACACATGACTATTGAGCTCATGAAAGGCAGTTAGTGTGACTGAGGAACTGAATTTTTAACTTAATTAAACTGAACAGTCACACACAGCTAATAACTACCATGTTGGATAGAGCACGTCTGTGTTTTATGTGGCCCAGTACTAGTCAAGACAAGCTAGGCCATACTGCAGTAACAAATAACCCCAAAATGTTAGTGTCTCCAAACACAGTTTTATTTCTCTTTTACACTGTACATTCATCAAATATCATGTGGGGACTCTGTTCCACCTCTCCTCATTCTGGAACTATCTTGAATGCTCTGGTCACTGTAACAGAGGGAAAAACAGAGATCTGGAGCCTCTTGCACTAACAATCAAATGAAGGCCTGGCTCAGCAGTGACACATATTACTTCCATTCACAATTCATTGACCGTCACTAATCATACAGCCCTGTGTGCACACTGTAGGGCCAGGAAGTGCTGTCCAATCAAGGAGACGGAAATATTAGGTGAATAGCACTAGTGACTGAATAAGTAAGCATCACTAAAATAACTAACACACCAAATTAAACAAAAATTGTGTTTTTAAAAGTCAGGTGTCTGCCTACACAAGAACATCACCCTGGGTTTCCTCATCGGGCTGTTCCTCCTTGCGCCTCATCTCCATGCCCTCTCTTCTCCTGGGTGCCCTCCAGAGCACACAGCACAGAGTTGGGTCTAGGGGCAGCGAGAGCACGGACTTTGGGGACAGAGTCTGAGCATCAAATCCCAGCTACTTCAACATTCTGTGTTCTTCTCTGTAAAACCAAGAATAATTACACCTGCTTCTTAGTCTTGTTTAGAGGATTAAACAGGATTAGATCTGTATACTAACAGATGCACAATACACACTTACTTTAATATGATGTTTCTTTTAAAGTGTGATGGGTAGAATTAAACTTAACAATAATTTAGATGTGACCTGTTCAGTAGAGAAAAAACCATTTCCCTTTTCTGGGACATCATCCTATTCTTTCACTTATATCATCTAAAAATATTAGCAGTACTTTTTGTGGGCAGCCAGAAGTACTATTAATTCGTATTGTACTTCAAAGTGCCAATTTCCACTAGGTAACAGCCTCACTTACCTTGTTGACATTTTAAGCCTCAAGTGTAAGAATTTAAATCAGATGAAATTTGATAGGAATAAATGTTCATTTGGCTTGTTGCTCATTAGCTTTTTTTGTTTTTAATAGACTATTTTTTTATTAAGGTATCATTGATATACAATCCTATGAAGGTTTCACATGAGCAACGTGTGGTTACAACATTCACCCATATTATCAAATCCCCCCCCCCAACAAACACGACATTGCAGTCACTGTAATAGACTGTATTTTTAAAGCAGTTTTAGGGTCACAGCAATATTTAGCAGAAATTAAAGAGATTTTCCTTATGCTCCAGCCCTAAACATGCACAGCCTCCCCCTTATCCACACCCCCCCACCAGAGCGGTACATTTGTTACAATCAATGAACCTACATTGACACATCGTTATCATCCAAAGTCCACAGTTTACACTGGGATTCATTCATATTATTGTATATTCTATGGGCTTGGACAAATTTATAATGCTGTGTATCTACCATTATATTGTATACAGTTTCATTGTTCTAAAAATCTCCTGTGCTCCATCTACTCATCCCTACCTTACAGCAACCCCTGGCAACCACTGACATTTTTACTGTCTCCATAGTTTTGCCTTTTCAAGAGTGACATAGTTGAAATCACATAGTATATAACCTTTTCAGATTGGCTCCCTTCACTTAGTAATATTCATTTAAGTTTCTTCATGCCTCCATTTTTCTTTTAAGCTTTGAATAATATTTCACTGTCTGGAAGTACCACAGTTTATTTATCCATTCATCTACTGAAGGACATCTTAGTTTTTTCCAAGTTTTGGTGATTATAAATAAAGCTGCTATAAAATAAGGCTTTTTGTGTGGACACAAGTCTTCAACTCCTTTGGATAAACACCAAGAGATGTAGTCGTTGGATCTATCCTAAGGGTACGTTTAGTTTTGTAAGAAACCACCAAACTGTCTTCCAAAGTGGCTGTACTATTTTGCATTCCCACCAGCAATGAATGAGAGTTTGTTCCTCTTGTTCCATATTTCTCCCAGCAATTTGGTGTTGTCAGTGTTCTGGAATTTGGTCATTCTAATAGGTAAGTAGTGGTACATATTAGCTTTTAGCAAGATCTCAGTGCTTTGAACCATGATCCAGTGCTAACCATCGGCAGCCTCTTCAAGACTTGTGTATGTGATTTGATGGGTATGTGATTATTGAAAAGATCACAGACATTGGAAATGGCCAAACCTCAAATATGCACCTTAACTCTGGCGTACTGCTCTGGAGGACTTATTGAACTACTCAGAGCCTCAGTTTCTACTTTTGTAAAATGGAAGTAATATAATAATAATAATAGTACCTGCTTCAAAGAGATGTATGAATAAATTGTGCACCTTCTCTGATTTTATTCAAGTGATGAATGAAAACATTTGACCAGAATGGGAGTCAAGGCTGAACCTTGTATCACACTAGCCTCTATTAGCCTCTCTCTTAGTTGAATAACCACCAGTCTTTGAGCACATCTGCCCCATCATCCAGCCCCTATAGTTTCATCTTTCAGGTGTATGTGGACAGGCTTTGTCAAATGTCATATTAAAATCACAAAAATCTAATCACTAAGGTAGATTTCTTTGGACCCCCTGAATGCATTTTTCCTGCTTCCATCTCAGACTTCAGACTTCGAGTGAACAGGTACTATTTTTTAAAATTCTTATTTAGTCCCTCCTTGTTCTTCTAAAGGCTGTATAGAGGTCTCTAGTTTCTAGGCTACTACATTTCCTGAGGAGACGATCCTTAGACAAAGTAACTTGCATTTCCCTGGTTTGTTTTAGTAGTCATTGTAGAAAAAATGATACATGTGTTAGCCAAGACAGATCTCTCATTTCACTTGAGGGTTACATGTGTGCACACACATGTGTGCCTGATAATGCAACAGGGCTTAAATTACATCTTTGGGAAGACTTGCTATTATCTGTCTATTCAGTATCTCCACTATCAAATCAGAGCTTAGATTCCTCATCACTTTTGCTGTCATCATGGACAATTAGGATTCAGGAGAAGCAGACAGCCTGAAATTTAATTCAAACCTGCAATTCAATCCAAATGCTTAAAATCTGGCTGCGGTGGAGTAGTTAGTGAAGGCAGAAATGCCCCCTAGGAAATCGTAACGAAGAGTCTTAAGTGAGTCCTTTCATTGACAACTTTATCCAAGAAACCATCTTCCCTGGAGACTTTTCCAAACTTTAGACTAATCCTCTCCATGCCACAGAAGTCCTTTTGTTGGGGGAAAATCATACGCGGATGCAGGAGTGACAGGCCTCTGTAAGCATCAGCTCTGCCTCTACATTCTTTCAATTGTCAGTCTCCCATCTGTCCTGTTGCCCTTCTGGCCCAGGGATCTTGCTGTCAAATAATAAAATGGATGAAATTATTCAGAAGTCCAGAGTATTTCAGTCTATGTCTAATTGTTGAGCCCGTCATTGTTAAATTCAAGGCAGATGACAATAGCAATAACCTTTCATTGCTTTTTCTGCAAGTATTATGTACCATTGCCCCAGACATCATGTTTAAAGTATGCCAGGACACAGGTGATAGTATAACACTCCTGGTCCAGTGTGGAGTTCGACTTGAAGCTTCTTAGTAAGCTGAAGCAAATCAAAGCAGAAACAGCAGTAACGAGACCTGGAAGTGAATGAAGAATAAACTAAATCAAAATAATGAATAATGTACAGATTAAAACATGCTAAATATTACTGCAAAGTTGCTGATGGAATTATGTATATTGATAGAAAAAGTGATAATAAATTATAAGAGGCAACATCTTATCCCTGATAATAAGAACTAAAAACTGTTAAAATAGTCAAAATCTATCTTCCATGTACAAACTACAGTTGTTCCTCACCATACCCCACAGTTCAAAACACGCCAAGTTTTGAAATCGTTTGTGCAAACTGTCTGGCACTTGGTCTGTACCCAGCACATTTTACTTGCCCTCTATTTCTTTATCATAGACATTAGTATACATTTTTTCCATGCCTGAAACTGACACTTTGAAGATCTTTAAAAGTCTTAATTTTGAGGCATTGCTGCCAGTTACAAGCCCTGATATTCCAATTTACATTTTGAATCTCCTGAAAAATGAATATTTTAACATAAATTCAATTTAGTGGAAAAAATTTACAGGCCCCAAGTGTCCTTGTGATTATCACTTTTAGTCTTTTTAACTCCAGCACTCCCAGATTTTGCTGATCCCAAGCCATTTATTAAACAGTTTAATTGCTAGAGCTTTTCCCTATTGCGGTTCTTCCATGCGTTTTATCTCCTTACATTAGTACCAAGGGCTGAGGGATAGCATAAGATTGCTCCAAGAGGCTAAATCTGCCTCCTCCCTTCTCCAACCGATGGCATAGGCACTGAGTTTGACATGCTGCATTTAATTGATTTTCTTTTGTGACCAATTTACATCTGCAAGCAATGATTTTTTTATGGGAAGTCACTGTAGATCAGAAAGTTATGGTTATCTCCCTCCCTTCTGGTTGCTTAGTAAAACAACAACAATAATAATAATGCTTATGGAAGCATCATCATCTGGGACCATTTCCATCAATGTCTTTGAAAATTTTATGAAGGCCAAGTCCTTCACTTTATAGGATGTAGCTAAAGCACATCCTATTCTCTTAACTAATGGGTTTGATTGACATAATTACACAGTAAAATTTCTGCTCTAGAAAATATTTTGCTTGGGAAATAGCATATTATTGTATTGCCTATTGTAATTCTAAATACATAATTCCATAGGTATAATTCTAAATTTCTCTTATCTTTCCAAATTTCAAAATAAAACGCTCTTAAAAGGTCCAGAAGGCAGATATCCTTGATATGTACATGCCTTTAAATAACAACAGCCAAAGAGAGATCCTAGAGAGTTGCAAAGAGCTGAATCCTGCCATATGAATGATGTTGGCACGGGGGTGGGGGTGGGAGTATATCACTGGTTACCATCTAGGCCCAAAAGGTTCTGTTATGAAGCAAGGCCTAGCTATGGTTGCCAAGTGGGTGGCCAAATCAGTCTCATGCCTGTGGCTTGCTTGGCATGTAGCCGGGTTGGCTGGCTGGCTCTGTGCATGGGTCCCACCTTGATTCTTCTCTCTAGATTACTGTTCCCTTTACCCACCTTGGACGGCCCAGTATGGGAGGTGCTCCTGTCACATAAAGGGATGCCTATACTATGGTGGAGTTGTCCCACTTGGCTCCTGTGTCTACCAGCAAAACTCCTCACGGGCATGGTAGCTCTGGGAAAATCCTCCCCAGCACTCCTTCCGCCTCAAGATTACCTCAGAAGGCGGGCTGCCCTGGCCTGACTGAGGAGGCTCCGGAGAGCAGCTGTGCCATGACACCTGAGGATGGCTCCTGCCTCCCCATCAGACCCCAGTGGTTCCCAGAACCCACACTGAATGAGCCCACTACCTGTAATCACCTGTGTGGAAGGTGTACGAGAAGTAGCCTAAGAAGACTGCGGCCGTGATGACTGGATTCTCATAGGCCTCTAAGACCTTCTCTTGAGTGGGGCCAGACTCTCAACCAGGTCTTCTGTGCCACTTGGGGGCAGGCCAGCTGGTAATTTGCACTCCTGTGGTTTACCCAGGACTGTGTCTGTTCTAGCACTGAACGTCCCACAGCCCAGGACTCCTTGTCTTGAGCAGATGGGGATGGTTGGTTACCCTGGCCTCTGATTTTGTCCTATCAGTTAACAGAGTGAACTATGTAGTTAAGGGAATGCAATATGCCAGTGTGCACATGTGTCCGCTGAAGGCCTTATGATGACCTGTAAGTCTTAAGAGTCTTACCTCTCCTCTGGGAGTGGGAGAGACAGGGAATGCTCATTATCATCCTCCTTTCACATCCTGAAGAAGCGAGGCCACCTGTCCCAGAGTGGGAATGGAGAGCCAGACACAGAACAGAGGTGCTCTGAATCCATGAACAATGCCCTCTCCACCTGGCAGTGATCAACTTTCAATCCTGTCCATTGGAGCCTCACTGTTGGGACTGCTTACCTGGAAGACTCTTGGAGATATCCCCCTTTCTTTTCACCAGCATTTGCTAAACTGGGCTGGGTGGTGTTCTTTCTGGTAGGAGGCCAAGAGGTCACACATTTCTGGCTTTAACCTCACTCCTGAAACTGTAAACAAAGATTCCTCTGCAGGGAGGAAAAGAGAAATGCACCAACACATTATTTCCTGGGATCTTTCACAGTGTACTTTTTGTCTGTTGTAATATTTGTCACCTGAAGAGACATCAAAACATGAGCCAGACTTATCCACCAGTAATTTATACTGACTCATGGATAACTCACTTTACTGAATCTACTAATAATTGTCAAGGGCTTCCCATTGAATACAATTCACTGCATATTTACCAAACAAATACTTGGGAAAAGCATTATGCTAGGTGAAAAGGCAAAATTAGGAACAGAACTGGGAGACACATACACATTAATAAAAAAAAGGGCCAAAAGTGAGGTGCAAACAAAAGAATTATGACAGCCCCTTTCCTAACTACCAGCAAGCATGGGACAAGCATGGACAAGTGCCCATTGAGCTTTGAAGAATGACTGTGCTCTCAATAGCCAAGGCCTTCCAGGGAGGACATTCCTGAGGAGCTGGAATGAGCAGAGGCACAGAGGGAGGAAAGTGTTGGAAAGAATTGCACGCTGTCTTGCAGCGTTAGAGCTAGAAGATACATTTGGAAAAATGGGTTGGAACCAGATGGTGAAGGGAATTAATATCAAGCTGAGTCTAGATATTAGTCCCAGCGGTGATAGGCAATGAGCATAACACTGGGTTAGATATTCTGGAAAGTTTCAAATCCTGTTACATTAGGTACATTAGACATCTATTTAGATAGACTCTAATGTGCCACTTTTGTTAAAAAAAACAATTTTTGAAATATATATTATATATAGAGTATATATAATACACACACACACACACACACACACACACACACACACACTACCTTCACCCTCTGATTTATGTATTTATTTAGTTCAGAATGCTGGCAGTTTGCATTTTTATAAATGCCTGTGTTTGTTAAGTGTGTGTTATTCCTGAATGCTTACTGTGTTAAAATTATGAGCCAAGACCTCTAAAAGTTCACATTTTAAGGGGTTTATCTGCAAAATGGAGATGGGGCTTCCTGACAGATTGCTCTAAGTTTAAGGAAGATAATACATGCAAAACATCTTAGGTTGTTCCTGATACACAATATATTTTTAATAACGAGTAGCCATTGTTACAAGCATCAGCATAGATACTATCTGAGAAAAACAGCAACAGCCACATTGTCACCAAAGCACATCCACAAAACCTGCTCAGGGCATCCTACCACTTGGGTTTGGTTTTTCAAGGCTCACAATCTGCACAACCTGGGTTGCTCTAAATATTCTACAATTTAACAAGAAGAGAAGCTTCCAGCTTTGATGCACTGAGAGCATAAAATGCCTTAGTAATCCTATTTGCTAGAAGCTGCTCACACCCAAAGGGAAAAAATAAACCTGCAATGCGGGCTCTGCCTCCCTTGGCCTGGACTTCTGCCTTGCATGCCAGGAGTAATCTGTGGCCCTGACTCTTTCAGTTTGGAATTACATATTTGCTAGGCTGGAAAGGGAGACAGCATGTTCTGTTGATATCCATAGTGCATCTTTGCAGCTACATTATAAAAGGCATTTTTCTATTCTACTTTCTTTTAGCTCATGTAGTAGCACAACCAGTCTACAGCTAAAACACACAATATGTGAACAGTACAGATTACTCTCAAATCAAGTGAGTCCAAACCAGCTGGGAACTTCCCTCAGGGAGAAGTGTCCTCTTTCCTTGGGGACAGTGGCATGAAGATTTCCCTGAGGCTTTGTTGCCCCTCAAAAGCAGTAGCTCCTCAAAAGCAAGGAGGGAAGGGGAAGGGGGGTAGAGAGGGAGAGGAAGAAAGAGGAGGAGTTGGAGGTGGAGGAAAAGAGAGGGAAGAAGAAAGAAGAGAGACAGAAGGGGAAAGAGAGAAACATTACCTGGCATAACAGGGCTGGGAAGGCAACCAGTTAATCAAAGGGATCCCAGTGTGGCCATGGGCTGCCCAACTCTCCTTCCCAACTCATAAAAAAAGAAAATGGAAACAAGAGGGAAAAAATAAAGGAAAGGAAAAGAAAGAAGGAAAAAAGCAGCAGAGCTATTCTCCTGCAGCAAACTCACAAATGCAAACCCTTCCATTCGGAGGACTCCTCATTAGCTTACTGAATCTGACAACGTAATTATCACAGCTGCATCGCGCTCAGAATAAATAAATACGAAAGTGGTTGTTTAAAATTTTTTGAGAAGGGAAATTCAGTCATCTAGACAGTCAGTAGGACAAGTTTATTTAAAACTTTTAGATTCTTATGTATTTAGATTATTTCAGACCGAGATAATGAGATAGTTGTCTTTCAGTCTAATTGAGTTCCTAAGCTCCTGGCTGTTGGCTGTCACCCCTTTCAAACTTTGCTTTAACTTTCCTTCCTTTAGAAATCTGATCCTGGTGTCTCCATTTACTCTTCCTGGGCTGATAACCTGGTGAAGGCTCAGTGCACTGGAGTGCAGAAAGTGACTTAATGGGATTGAGGAGGTAAATAACCTTTCACAGGAAACAAGATAATCAAATCTCAGTTTACTTGCCTGTAATGGCTAAAGGAGAAAGCGCAAGTTGAAAAGAAAGCTTGGAAATTAAACCATCATTTCAAAATGTCTTGTAATTTGCCTTGTCACGTGGTTTTGCCCTACTCTTACACATCATCAATCCATCAGCTGGAGTTGCTTAGTGCGTTTAATTATTCAGAGTGCACACAGCCTCATGACTATGTGGTAATTTTAGCTCATGTGTATGTATATAGGCTTCATATCTTCAAAGCCCAAAGGATCACACAGTGCTTTAAGTTGAGGTTGCTAACTAACTTGGAGTGCACTTAAAACGCTAACTAGGGGCACAGAACATATGCATTTCCGATTAAAGCCGATGATCTTTCCTTTTAAAATTAATTAGTGCCTATTTATCTTTTCCTCTCCCTCCCACCACATTCTCCCAGGACTGCATTTATAAGAACCCTTGCATTTAGTGAATTAAAAGCTTAATAAAATAAACATTCTGTCAATCTAGGGTAAAGGAAAAGAGTGCTAACCCATTATGTAGATTGACTAAGTCAGGTTTGTAAAAGCCAATAATGCATGCTACATTGGGGGAAAAAAAAGAAGAAAATGCAGGTCTTTCAACTCTCAATCCAGAGCTTGAACTCCCTGTACAATCTCCCTGTAAGACTCCTGTCTTAGCCTATGCTTTCAAATAAACAATAAAGGCAATATAACATCAACATTAAAGAAAACTTTGAAAATGGAAAAAAATTACCCACAAAGCGCCTAAATGAGAAGAGCACTTTATTTTTATACACTGCTTTTCAGTTTTTTTGATATGCATAATACATTTTCACAGGTACATTATAATATTCAGTTATGTATCCTACTTTCCCTTAGTTCATGTCACAGCATAAGCATTTCCATATTACCACACATTCCTGTGAATTATCATTTTAAATGGTCACATAATACTGTATGTTGAGTCAATATACTACAATTTGTCCAATTAGTTCTCTAGTGTTGAATATTTAGATAATTTCTTTTATTTTTAGTTTATATATATTTTTTCTGTTCAATTGTTTCTTTGGATGCTTTCCAGGAACCAAAGTATAGGGTTGAAGGTTATGCCCATTTTTATGGTTCCTGATATGTATGGTATAATGCTTTGTAAAGGTTGCCCCAATTTAAGCCATTATCAGAATCATATTACCACAACCTCACCAGCACTGGGAGTCATTAGGTTGAGGGAAAAAATAATTAACAGTTATTGTATATATTTAATCACTGGTAAAATTATTTATTCCATGTGTTGGTATACTCCTTTTGTTTCCTCTTTTATAAATTGTTATTTTATGCCTTTGCCCAATTTTCCACTGGATTCCTGAGATTTTTCTTATAAAATTGGATTACAGCAAAACAAAAAAATAACCACAATTAAGAAATCTTAAAACCCAAGGGTGACTGTATATTTTTAAAAAAAAGAACAGAAACACGATGACATTGCAGATTAAGGAAGAAGTCAGGGGTATGAGTCTCTATTAAACATAAACTTAAGCCCTCTTAATTGTGAGATACTAAACATGTTACCTGAGAACATGTGGAATCTTTCCCAGGAAGGCTTTTAAATAAACATAGAGCATGAGACAGTGGAACGGTCACAGGACTGGGAGTCAAGATCTTGGTTCTAATCCTCATTTTGCTGCTAAATTCCCACGTGAATGTTAGCAAGCAGCAGCGAGGAGTGGGAAGATTGGCTTGGGAGACTGACTTGAAGTCAAATCTTAGCTCTTCCACTTACTAGCTGTATGACTTTGAGCGATTTCCCTAGCCTCTCTCAGTTCCAGTTTTCTAATATGTAATATGAGGCTAATAACTCCAGCATCACCAGCTAGTATGTAGATTGAATAAGAGTTTATGTAAAGCACATAGATACCCAGTAAATGGCAGCCACTGTTATTGCTTCCTGGGTGTCAGGGACTCATTTATAAAATGAATATATTGTAATAGTACACCTCAATCCTTTCCCACTCAAAGTGTCTCCTTTTCCTGAGGGGTTTATCTTTACTTGGAGACTTTTTCAGCCCATAATACTAACAAATTTAACCAGTGTAAAGGGTCTGTGGGGCTGAGGGACTTGGTTTACCCAACTTCCAGCAACACAACTCTATCCAACACCATATGCCAGGTCTCAACCCAACATCTTACCAATGTATTGGAATGGATTAAGGACAACTTTGAGCACAGAAGGTGAAGAGTGTTATGTAGGACACTCCCTAACTTGCCTCAGTCCTTATTAATGGAGGGTTTAAAAGGTAGAAAGAGTGTCTGAGTTAGGTTACAAACTCTTAGATGCAGAATAAAGTCAAGAGACCATCTCAGATTCTCCTTGTTCTCTTCCCCACCATCCCCAACTCCTGAAACCTGGCCTCTAGCACGACAAAATAATCTGGTTAAATTCTGCAAAGATTAGGCAATAAAAGTAATAAACAGAATAGATTTGAAATCATTAGCATACAAAGTGCTACATTTCACTAAAACATGTTAAATAGTATTTAAATTGTTGCAAGAAGGTATACAAATAAAAAGGAGTAGTAAAAACTAGGATGGAACATGAGTCAGGATTGTGCCACTATTAAAAGAAGACACCTTCCCAACAATGTCAGGCAGATTGAGGAGGATGACATTCCTCTCCCTGGGTGTCCTCCCTCCCCAAAGAGCCCGATCCCATTGTCTCTTGAGACCCACTTACAAAGCCATCCTAGATCCTGGGTGGAATTAACCTCACCTCCTCTGACCACCCAGAGCACTTCATACCTGATCTGTAGCTGTGTTTATATATTTGTCTCATTTCCTTAAAGACTATAAGCTCTTTGCGGACAGGGTCCATGACTAATTCATTTTAGTATCCCTCAATATTACACTTAATAGACTCTCAGCTGAATGAACTGGAACATAATTCACCCACAATATTAAAAAACTGAGTTTACCCTGGGACCATAGACTCAAAGATAAGCCAAATAATTGGCAAAGGTTCGGAATAGGATAATGAAACAAAATGATTAAAAAGTGAGACAAATGGAGTCTATGTCTGGGGGGAGGTGAAGGTCAAAGGAATTCAGCCTAGAGAAGGGAGATTTGAAAAAGTGGTATTGAGGGACCTTCAAATACATTAAAAAGATAATATTCAAAGAAGGCCTAAAGATTTTTTATTGGAGCAAAACAATAGGTTAGTCATATTTTAATGGTGCATATGAATAAGTCCTGCTGAAGAACTTCCACAGCATAGATATTAGAGTGCTGTGAGAGAGAGTAGGGGCAAAGGCCACGCCTTCCTCCATCCCTACAAATATGAAAGTATATGTTGACAAGAAGGGCTCTGGTAAATTGTTTTCACAAAATTGGTTGTGAAGCAATTGCAAGCTTTTAAGTTTTAGGATTTTTTTCCTAAGATGCTGAAACCTGTTTTAAAGGAAAAGGGGCATTTAGTCCAGGAAGGAATGGAAGGGACTCAAGCCACAGATTTGGAAAGCAAAATGTGACCAACCCACAGAGAGAGGCAGCCTTTGATGTCCTGACGATCAAGGACTGGGGCTTAAGGACCAGACTCTTAAATAACATGGCATTTACTGCCCCAGATAAAAAAATACTTTTGCAGATCAGTGTCTGTGGTTCAAAATGGCCAGGTTCCAAAATCAGTCTTAACTTCCCAAGGATAAGATTTGGAAGGCTCCCTGCAAGAACCGGGTGGAGCCAGCTTCTAGAAGGGGCAGCTCAATGCTTTTCTACTCCCCCCACCCCCCAAATCATTGCGCAGCATTCCTCTTCCAGAGCCCAAGTTCAAGCTGAGGGCAAAGGGAACTAAATGCAGAAGGTGAACCTGCAGCTAAGATTAGAGAGTTGCCAAGGGCCTAATTTTAGGTCCGAGCTGCCCCAGCTGACATCCTTCACTGCTGTCTCAGCCCTGAGGACCACAAGTGTGGCCAGAAGCCAGTGACGGAGCGGGAAGAACGGCTCCCTGGCCATCTGCAAAAGCAATTAGCTTGCTGTTGGGCGTGTTTTGAGAGAGACTACCAATAATTTCTCCCTCAACAAATGTTTCTTCAGGTGTTGAAGAGGCAATATGGGAAAACATCAGCGCTTGGCAAAAGTTCCCACATGCTTGCCATTCTAATATTCATGCTTTCCACTTAGGAGTACTCTCCAAAAGGGAACTAATCCTGGAATCCTTGGATTTTCATGGCAAGTAACCCCCCAATTTCCTCTGGCCATAAGATTACTGCCACAACCTAGAGAAAGTATTGTTAGGATTCTCAGCCTCGTGAAAATTAGACATGGATGGATGGAAGCAATTCTTGCATTTTGTGGGGAATTTCTCTGCCCTTCTTCCACTGGGACTGAGGCTGTCCTTGCACTCTTCACATATTTCCCAGCCACAGGTTTCATGCTTAAATTGTCTCCTTCAGAGGGCAGGCAATAAGAGCTAGCATCTTCCAGACCAAAGGGAGAACAGAATACACTTTAAAGTGACAACTTTGTTATCCTGCAAGCAGAATAAAACCAGAATAATAGGATATAAATATAAGCTCCTAAATGATTCCATACTGAAATGCCACCAGAGAGCAGGACCTCTTGCATAATTATGGTAGAGAAATGCTCTTTATTAACTCCTCACAGGAGCATGTCTTATTTTTTCACGATTCTTATGCCTGGGGCAGCCCACCCTGGGGATGGAGATTCTATGTCCCTACAGGATGGGAACTGTGATAACCAGAGGCTGGTGCTCCCTGCCTGCAAAGGAGACTCTTAATACAGGTTCATTGCTATGAGCAGTGAAAAAGCAGGTTGTCACTGCCAGGCCAAGGGCCTGCATCCCTCAGCAAATGTGTCCTTGGTGAGGGCCCTGTCATCAAGGTACACAAACTGGTCCTCACTGCTTTTCTCTCTTCCTCTATTTTTCTTTCCAATTTTCCTGGTAGCTTTGCCTTCCCTGTCGACTCGTCCTATCTGTCGGTCTGTTTCTGAACCCATTTCTGCACCCCTTCCCTTATGCGCGCATATGCACACACACCCAGTATCGCCCCCCCTCCCTGTCTCTTGGCGCTGGCCCTTTCATCTTCTCCCTTGGGGATTCGAGATGTCGCTGCAGGAAGTGCTTGTCGGCCGAGGCAGCAGCAGAGCCCTGTGGCTTTGACAAACCTCATTTAATTGGGAGGAAGCCAGGAGAATTTGAAAGAACTGAAACATCCACGAAAGTCCTTTTATCAGGCATAATTTAAACTCTGCATGGAAAAACCCCTATATGTATAAAGAAAAGTCAACTTCCCTCCTGCTGTGAGCACCCCTCATCTTCCCCCCCCCACCCCAGTGCAGGCAGGCTCCTGCAAGATTCCATCTTTTCATTTTTCTAAAAGTGTCAAAGTAGATTTGGCTCTGTGGCTGGGTGAACAGAGAAGGAATACAGATGGGCCTCTCTGTCACACCCGCACATGAGCATGAGCACACTTCCCCACCCGACCACCACACACGCAGAGACACACTGCAGAGCCCCTCTGTTGGTGCCTGTGCTTTGGACGGCCAGGCAGAATCAAACCCAAGCTTCTCACAACACATTGGTTGGACAGTGGCCATTTCTTCCTAATTATTCCTCGTCAGGCAAAAGCGGGTGCCCCCCAAAAAGGTCCCCAGTGGGTCTCAGTATGTAGACTAATAGATCCTGGAGGAGGGCCAGGAGGGAAATGGAGAGAGGCAGTGTGTGTGTGTGTGTGTGTGTGTGTGTGTGTGCGTGCGCGCGCGTGTGTGTGTGTGTGTGCGTGTGTGTGCGTGTGCACCCCCAGGTGTGTATACTTGCTGGAAGTGGTAGGTAGAGGTCTTGAGCCTGAGAGAAGGAAGCTAAGCAGGAGGATCTAGGAGCTCAGACTGGGATGAGAGAATTGGGAATCAGGTGGAAAGTGGAGGGCAGAGGAGGACTAAGTCAGGGGTGAGGTAGCAGCATGGGAGTAAGAATTGTGGGTTGCCTAGAATGTCTTTTATTCCAGCCATATGCCAAACTATGTCCCTCCCCTCCTTCCAAATTCCACTCCAGATTCACCTCCAGTCCAGTCCATCTCACTTGAGTTATTCTAGTTCTCCAAAGAATTGCCTTTAGCACACACATATTCACTGAACATCTGCAGCTGATTATGCACAGACTTCAGCTGTTTAGATGTGATTTGTGCTAATATGTATATGAGGGTGCCCTGTTTCCTCTTCCTCACCCTCTTTTCCTCCCACTCCTTAGGATCCTTGAGGTCAACGACAAGTTTCTTTTTTTCTCCTCAATTTTTATGGCACTTAATGTGTTCTTGACACTTAAAGGCAACTTAATAAATACTGATAACTGACTCTTCTTAGAGGGTTAAGTAAGACATTAACCCGAGTTGTATGATTGTAGTTATTTTTGGAGATCCTAAATGACTCACTTTAATAATAAAATGCCTCAAGATGTCCCAGACAAAGAGCTTTGGACTGCTGCAGGACAATGTCCTGGAGACAGCGGGGCTATGTCTGCAAACCCTGCAGTCTTTGGTCAGACTGTGTGTCTAAGCCTCTGGGGCAGCAGCTCCTGACCAGTCCCCACCCTCACCAGCCACATGCCCTCTGAATGCCCTCTTCTCTGACTGAGCCCCTAGACCTTCCTTGTTAGATTTCTTATCTCTGGCTTAGGGCTTCTAAAAACTGTCTTCAGTTGAATAGTGGATATTTGACATAAACCCCACCTAAGAACAATCTGCCTAAACAGCTGGGCCCCAACCACACTGCCCATATCCTCCATCAGCCCTTCCTGCCACTCTGAGAAACATGAGGGGCACTCCAGCCACGTGACCCCTCAGCGTATTTCAGATTGGAGAATGACTTTGGGCCCAGGCAGAAAAGCCCATCTCAGGGTAACTTGTACTTCCCGTGGGTGTCCAGCCTGGGAGGATGCCCCCACTGCCGCCCGGCATGCCACCTGGTACTTCCTTCGGCAGCATCAGATTACCCATCAGGACAGGCCCAGCTCTCCTCTCGTGATGTATCCCTGTCACCTATCATCTTGCACTCCATGCAAAGAGAGAAGGGGGTTGTTAGGAACTTTGGTTCTGCTTCTCCAGGCAGATGCTAGCAAAAGCAAACAACTCAGAGGCAACTTTCATCTCATTCAATTTCTATGTGTAAGCATGTACATGTGAAATGCTGGGATCATTACAATGAGGTCTGTGACACCTCAACCCACCAGAGCTTTCCAGTTCCGGAGAATATCATACAAAACTCAGGCAAGGTTGGGTCCCATCTTGCTTCTGCCAGGTAAACTGACATCTAAGCTCACTTCTGGTTGGTTGCAAAGTCTATGATTCTCCGGTGCTCAGAGAAAATGCTTAGACACAGAGACTTAAATGTGTACGTGCATGCGTGTGCACACACACACGTGCTCACACACACACATAGTCCATCACTCACCATCAGGAAGTTGGTGCAGCTGAGATGGCAGGGCACTGAAGTAATTGTGGACCAGGGCTTCCTGAGCAGAGACACGGTCTCTAGGAAAGCCTTTCAGCATTTGGGAGGCGAGGTCTTCAGCTTCAGGAACCCTGCCCAACCTAGCAAAGTGGGAGAGAAAAAACAGAGTTTCTCCAGAGGCCTCCCTTCTGAAAAATTAAGGGGAAAGAAGAAGAGTAAAGAAAAAGAGATGACTAGAGGAGTGTTGCAAAAAGAATTTTTCTAGGATTAGTAAAGTTGATGGCAAGTGGAAATACAACCTCTGCACTGAAACTCTAACCTATCCTGTTACTGAGATGAAGGGGAAAATCTCAGCATTCTATCATTCAGTTCCCTTTCCCCCCACCATGTCTCCAGACATCATGGATACATAAAGGACCCACAATTATAATTATAGAAGCAAAAATACATAACTAAGGATTCTTCTTTAGGGATACAGCAGCCCCCACCAAGCAGAAAAGCCTGACTGGAAATATGCTTCAAGGGCTGCAAGCATAAAACCCTCAAAGGGGAAGAGGAGGAGAGGGATACTGGAGGGTGAAGCATGGGTGGAAAACACCCTTATTTACAGCATTTCTGAAGCTCAGCCCTCAGGGTTATTATCTGAGAAGCTCTCTTGGGTCCCCCTGAGATAGAGCATAGGAAGAGAGGTAATTGCTCAAATTACAGGGAGGACAAATCCTTAAGTTGACCTCCTATTGAATTATAAATTTGGAGATGAGCAGATGCATTAGCTGGGCAACTACCATGTGTTAGTAGGTGGTTGGCTCTGGGAAGTACAAGCAAGACTCTGCCTTCTGGCAGTGAAGTCTAGTAGAGAAGTCAGACAATCAAATTATCATATAAATGCATGAGTATAGTTGTGAAGAAAAAGACCCAGATATCTGACTTAGAGTGAGAGGAGCTGGTCAGGGAAGGCCTCCCTCAGACGGTGGCATTTGACCTGAAAGGTAAGGAAGTAGGCCAGGGGAAGCTGAGGTGGGGGGGGAGAAAAAAATGAATTTAAAGAGGGGAAGACAGGCCTGCTGGCTGGTCTGGGACAAAGAGGGGGTGAGGGGCCAGATATGAAGCTGGGGAGGGAGGCAGGGGCTGATCCTGCAGCCCTTGTGGGTCTTCATGGGTCGTATTTTCTTATAATGTTTGAAAGTCTTCGTTAATCTAGTGCCAATCATTTAAGTACACCCATGTTTAGAGCCAAAGACAGTTTACAAGTGGAAAGCCACATGATGAAAAACCACAGAATTCAGGGGCATTTAACAACAGGACTGATATCCGACATTCAGAATTAAGTTTCATGGCCATGCAAATCCCCAACTAAGCAAAAATTGATGGGCCTATTTAATGTCAAATGTAAGTACCACCCTGATGCCCCTCCCAGGGCCATGATGCAGGGTTGCTGGAGTCTGGCCCAGAGTTCTAATTTGCCTAATTTTTGCATAAGATTAACGTAAAACACTTTCAGGTATCTGATTCCCATGACAGCAAACTGTTTCTACAAACACATAGCTTTACCTTCAAACTCAGGAGTAACTGCCTCATAGACATATGACAGAGAAGAAATTTGCAAATCCCTGGCCCTTGCCAATTTCCAGGTTAGTCAGAGGAGAAGGGAACCCCAGCTGGAGGCCTGCTCATTAGCTTTTGGCCTGAAGAAGAGCTGGCACATATTTTCTCCATCCAGGGTTCCCTGCCCAAATAACAGTCTTCAGGGCCTGTGAAGCCTGGTGTTGCTCCAGCAGGCCTGCCCTTGCTGCCAGCGGCCTGGACAGTGGAAGGGCTTTCTCTGCAGTGCAAGGCTGGCCGCTGTTAGTTCATCTGGGGTCTTTGTCATTTTCTCCCAGATCCATAGGAAGATAAAAAGAGCAGGTACTGAGCAGACACTTGTATTTTCAATTTGTTTTTATTTTGGAGTAATTTTAGGCTGTAAGAAGAGATGTAGGAGTAATACAGAGAGTTATCTTCCACCAGCTTCCCCTAATGTTAACATTTTACATAGCCATAGTAAATGTATCAAAGCTAAGCAATTAATATCGGTACAATACTATTAACTATGCTGCAGACTTTATTCAAATATCATCGGTTTTTTCAGTAAGGACATTTTGTTGTTCCAGGAGAGTGGGTACTTTTTTAATGCTTCCACTTTAGGACATGGTAAAGCAGACACCCACACTAATAAATATATCCAACACTAGGAAGAAACGGCATCAAAGAAACTGTCCTATAATTTTCCAATCAATCTAACAAGTGAGTGTGCCTTCACCAGGCTCCTGTGAATCAGGTCACCATCAAACCCCAGGCAGAGCTTTGCAATGCTCTTACAGCCTGTGCAGGGGTCCTCTGCACTTTGCAGGCATCTTGTAGAAAAGCCAGAGACACCTTCGCTGTTCTTTACTCACCACATGTTCAACCTGACACAACTGACAAGGCCACAGAGACTTGTGTAGCTGATGATTCCTGGCCCCACCACTTAGTTAGCTTGATGACTTTGGCCAAGGTACTTAACATCTTTGAGCTTCAGTTCCCTCCTCTTTGAAATGGGAATCAGATTTGTGAGGAATAAAAGCAGTAACATACACAGCACCCTGCTAGGCACGTAGGAAACATCACACTGAACTTTAGTCCTCTTTCAACAACAAAGCCCTCCTCCAAGCCAAGGATTTTCTCATGTGATAATCTAGATCAGTGCTGTCCAACAGAACTCCAATGATCTCAAAGATATTCTTTTTCTGCCCTGTCCAATATGGTAGCCATGACCTCATGTAGCTATTGAGCCCTTGAAATGCAGCGAGTGCAATTGAGCACCAAAATTTTAAAGTTACTTTTAATTAATTTAAATTTAAATAGCCACATGTGGCTGGTGGCTATTGTATTAGACAGCACATCTCTAGACATTATTCCTTGCTTTGAGGATCTGAGCAAAGAGAAGCCAGATGTCTGAGCTAAGGCAAAGGTGTTGCTGGGAGCAAGGCAATGGGCAGGGGTGGTGGGTATTGTGTGTAGTTGGAAAAGCCAGAGGGATATTCAGTGAATCCAAGTCCTCCTCGGCCTAGAAGGAAGGACTGGTAGGGTAGCAGGGGGGCACTTGGGGCACTTCCTTCCGCCGTGCGACAGGGCCAACAGCTGCAGCGTAGTAGGTGGCTGTGGGAATCACCATTTATTTTGGGAGCCAGTAGTGAAATGGGAGAAAGCCACAGGGAGGCACGAAATTCTGAATATCTCTAGCCAGGGGTTAGGGCACCTGACTCCACTGGCAAGAGAAAGTTTGCCTATCTTGAATGCAATGATGAACAGCAGTTCCCCGAACCTCTCTCCAGAACGGGGAGTTTTGGGTGATACAGAGCGCTTGAAAATCAGAGTGGAGTGTATGGATGTCTGGAGGGAACCCATCCCTCCCAACAGGAGAGCCCTCGGCAGTCCATAGTGCTCTTTATTCAAATATTATCGGTTAAAGCTCTATCATCACAGTGCTCTGTCCCAAGCTATTCTACTCTTTGTGTTCAGATAGCACTCTACATGGAGGCTTTTTAAGGCACGTGAACAGTTAAATATGGAAAAATCAATTTGGTGGAGTTAAACCCTATTATACTTTCAGAGAAGAACAACATCCAAATGTTCAGTGAGGATCTTGTCCCCTTCTCCCCACCTGCGAGAGCATGTTTTCCTTTGACATTTGAGCTCGTTTCCCCTGTCTCTGATGTTTTCCTCACTGCCCTTTTTGCCTCCTCATTGAAGCAAAAAGAACAGAGCCTCAACTAATTACTCTCAGATCAAATAATACTGGTTATTGTAATTGGTCATTGTCCGAAAACACTGAGTTCTTCTTAGCCCTGAGGTTGCCTGGCACAGCTTAGTTAGCTAACTATTCCGGGAATGTCTCTATTATCTGTTTTACTTTGTAAAAGAAACTAGGGATTTGTTGAAAGCTGGTAATAAAAGTCTGCGCTGGTCTGAGCCGAGACTGCATAGAGAGGGCCTGGGAAAGCATGACCTCCATGAATCAAGTCGTCCCCCCCACCCCCAATAGCCACTCAATGATGTTATGTGGTTTCTCTGTGTTGGAGAATAATAAACCCACTAGGTTTTCTTACAGGCCAGCATCCCTCATTCTCAGGGCCTTGGGCATGGTTGAGGAGCACAAACAATTTTAATGACCAATCTCACTGAAAGTAAAATGGTTCATAGAGAAAAATTCGCAGACTCACAGGTGCCTGGCTGTCCCTGGGGATCTTCCTGGGCCTTAGGGCCCCCAAGTTAGGGTGCTCAGGATCTGAATGTTCAGGACTAAGGTCCAGGAAAACATCCCTTCAACCTTGCTGAAACATAAGCTTTCCAAGGTGGTGCTCACCTGCTGCAGACGTTCTGAAGGCTCTGAGGCTTAGGCAGTGGGAACCATTCTGGAAAGCACACATAGACACATTAAAAAACAAAAACAGCCCTAAAATTCTGTTGCCAAAAATATTAAAATATTAAAACCCTAAGTCTTCTTCTTGCCTAGGGGTAAGAGAGAATTCAGAAACTAAATGGTGTTTAAGGCCTCTTCTCACTCTGGATTTTTATCATTCTGTGGGGGTCACTGGTATGGGTTGAATTGTGTCTCCCCAAATTCATATGTCAAAGACCTAAAAATACCTCAGAATTCGACCTTAAATGAAAATAGGGTGGTTGCAGATATAATTAATTAATAGATGAAGTCATAAAGAAGGACCTAATCCAATATGGCTGGTGTCCTTGTAAAAAGAGAAAATTTGGACACGAAGATAGACATGTATAAGGGAAGACTATGTGAAAAGACACAGGGAGAAGACAGCCATCCCCAAACCAAGGAAAAAGAAGACCTGGAACATATCCTTCCCTCCGAGCCCTTGGAAGGAACTATTCTGCAAATACCTCAATTTCAGATCTAGCCTCCAGAACTGTGAGACAATGCACTTCTGTGGTTTAAGCCACCACCCAGTTAGTAGTACTTTGTTACAGCAGCCCTAGCTAACTAATACAGTCACAATATTCAGTAAAGTCAGCAAATGTTTATTTAAGATCTAGTATGTGCAGATCATGTACCAAGTGCTAGGGAGAATACAAAAGAAGTGAAAAAAAAAGAAGAAAAAATCCTCCCCACCCTTGCAGAGCTTAAAATTCATTTGAGAGAACAAAGTGTACCTTTGTACACACACATGCACACACACAAAGTCATGTGATGAATGATGAGGTAGAATCTCAAAGATTCAAAAGTGGTAAAAAGTAATGGGACTAATTTAATATGTCACTTCAAGTAAAAGACGGAAGTGAATTCTGGCTTGAATAATCCAAATGGGTGATATTAAGATTGTAATTTTCCTTGGAGCATTCTAACATTTACATGTGAATACTTGTGTTTCCATTATCTTTGTATTTACACTATTTAACCCACATTAAAACCACCGTCAAAGGGGACAATTTCTCATTCATTCAAAATATACTAATTAAATGCTTACTCTATATTAGGGCGATAAGAGGAGTTACAGGGAATGTAATGTGATTCTCCACATCAAATCCTTCTATTTCCCACTCCAAACAGAAAAGAGTATTTCAACTCTCATTTAAAATGACGTTTCTGTGCTATACTTTTCATTGGCCTGAAATCTAATTGTTTTGTTTTTAAAAGACCTTCTGTCTCCTATAGAAATGGAAGACGCCAGGACCATTTATTGAACAAAAAATTTAATCATAGTTGGGCTAAAAATTATTTTGATAATACTGACATATGCATGCCTGTATGTGCACAGAAAAAGACCTGAAAGGCTGCTCACCTGAGAGTGGTAAGGACTATAGGGGCTTACCCTTTTTCCTTCTATGCTTATTTTTTTTAACTTAATTTTTATTAAAAAAGCACATACTATTTTCTAACTTCAAAAGTGAGTTCAATTAAAGTGGAACTTACAGTGTTAAGAGTTGTAGAGTGAAAGGAGTGTTCAAAGAAGATGATTTAAACTGTGTTTTCAAGGTCAGATGTAATCGAATGTGCACCAATCTGTTAGCATTTTATAGTCCCAGGTGGGCGCTAAGGCAAGCACTTGTATATACAGGCTGTTTACTCTCTCTTCAGATGATTGTGCCTAAATTCAAATAACCAGTAAAGATAAGAATAGCTGGCACTGGTTTAGAATGTTTATTTCCAAATCACTTTCTGCTGCCTATTTACAGTTCTTACCTGGTCAAACAAAATTAAAATATTTCCTCATTTAGTCATACCCCAATTTACAATCAACCTAATGAAATCTGTTTCAATGTTCTCCCATGTTTTGTTTTTCCTATCGTGAAGCTCTACACACTGCGGTTTTTGGCCTTCAGTATTTTAATATTGTTTCTAACTTGAATGCCATTTCAGGGGAACATGGTTTCAGAATTAGCTGACTTAATATTTGAACACTGAATCTAGCGTTTGAAACTGCTGCTCCACGTTCACTGAGGCCTTAAGGAAAATACTTTAATCATGGTCAGCCTGTTTCCTTAACCCAGATAAAGAGAGTGTATTTGCCTCACAAGGATGAAGTGATTCACTGAATTCATTGATTCAGTGAGAAGATGAATGCAAAGTGCCTGCCTCAGAGCATTAAACAAAATAAATCCTACTTGATCTTCTTCTTCTTCATCCTTTCAAAGTGATGGGCATTGTAAACTGTGTGAGGTTAGAACGCTGGACCTGGGTTTTGTATCCACACTGTGCCACTTACCAGCTGTGTAATCTGAGGGTTTTGTGTAACCTCACCGGGCCTCAGTTTTTCCATCTGCAGAAGAGGGATATTATAGTTCCTACCGCCTAGGGTTGGGAGAATTAGCATAGTAAAGATAATGTAAGTATTTCCTTACCCTGGGTCTCTTTTATTTCTGCTGCTCTCTCATCTGATGTACTTAATTTTCTCTCTCCTCTCAGGCATTTCTGCTGCCTTGCTCTCCTTGGAAACCCTCCATAACTTGCTTTCATTCTACTGAAACTCTAACATACTCCATGCTTGAGTTCTTACAAGACTGGCTTGATGTCTTTTGAGTTTTCAGCATAGGCCAGAGGCATGTTCTTAGCTATGTGATGTAGTAACATGAATACAAGCCTGGGCTCAAATCTTCCTTTCTGCTGCTGCTGCGCTCTGGGATCTGGGGAAAATTACTTAACCTCTCTGGTTAAGTAACTCAGAAGTTTCCAAATTTGTAAAATGGGAATTCTTTATCCAGTTACTTGGGAGAATCAGATAAGATTCAGCACTTGGTGTGCAGTTAGGGCTCACTATTAGTCCTGTTCCTTTTTCTTTTTCTTTTTCTGATATTGACCTCTCATTTTGGAGAGGTAGCATGGCCTAACAGTGGTTCTCAAGCCAAGCTGTGAACTAGCATCAACCAGGAGAGTTCTGAACCAAAGGGGGGCCCTGGCTCACCCAACAGCGTCTGACTCATGAGTGAGGAGGGCCCAGCATCGGTCCTGTGTTGTGCTGTTATTATTGTTTTCAGTGGTCTTCACGTCTCTAGTGTGGCACCAGCTGAGGCAGAGGGGGCTGGCTGAGCAAGGGGGCAGGGTGGACCCCTCACCAGCAACTCCCACACACTTCTGTCAGGCTCATCTCCTCAAGCAGGCTTGTTGTGGAAGTTCAATTAATCAATGCCTATAAAAATGGTGGAACGTAGGGTCTGATGCACACATAAATGTTTTTCAACGATGTGAAAGAGGAAGCCTGACAAGGGAAAAATCAGTCCTTAATAAAATCTCCCAGCAAAGGATGACCTGTAAGAGTTGCCCAGGAGACAATGTTAATTTAACAACACTGAACTTGAAGTTCCACGACTTGCATAGACTGTGCCCGACTCTCTTCCCACATCTATTTCTTAGCTCCATCAGCTGAGGTAGAGGAACGGATGTGTCCAGGACACCGTCAGGTTGCTGTTATGAAGCAAACAGGGCCCAAAGCCCTTCTGTGGCCTGCCCTCCCGCTCTCGTGCAGGTAACCTGATGCTGAATGACCCTGCCTCTTTTCCATTGATTTTTCCCAGTATAAGCTGCAAGCGATCAATGAAAGAGTGAGCCACAGGCAGATAGGCATTTTTACACAGCACTGTTTCAAGAGCAGTCTTTTTCTCTGGCTTTAGTACCCTCTAAAATAATATGTTTCTAAGTAGCTAAATTCCAAAGGGGATGTAAATCTTTAGACCAGACTTTTCTCCATCTTCTCCATCTGCAGTTCTTTTAAGAGTTCTCATTTGAGTTCAATTGGAATTAGAGGCAGGGAAAGCAAAGCGAATCATGAAAGGAAACTTAAGAAGCTGAATATTTCGATTTCCTAATATTTGAGTAAGACCCAAATGAAGGCAGAACTGTTGCTACTATAGTAAAATAATGCATTCTTTCATAAATGCTACGAAAGCTCATTTCACAGTTGATTCAAGTCAACAGAGCTTTGTTGGCTGATTGATACATTACCAGGACCATTTTGAGTCTTAGCTCAAGGTAAAACATTTTCTAGTTACTATGGTCTTACCACAATCACCCTGAGGTTATCTTATAGTGTGGTCCACTGAACTACACTTCTGGAATTTCCTGAATACAATGCATTCTTGAGATACCATATATTTAAATAGTTGATAATGTTGTTAGCCTTATTTCACTATCTCAGGCAGTAACTTTAAAACTTCATTGCAAAAATTTGTGGCTCTCCTCCTACCTCTGTCACACTCCCACCCCAAATGCATACACTCACACCCCCATAGCTGCTTGCTTCCTGAGCCTTTGGCTCAAGGAGTCTAAAACTGGCTCTTCTTGTGCTTTGCACTTTACCAGGCTTTAGACTCCTGTCTGGGTGTCATCATCAGGAGGCTAAATAAAGTAGGAGGTGCCCATGGGCCACACTCCTTGGCACTGGAGCCTGGCTCTCCAATGCATCTTTGTAACTTACCACTTTTCTAATCCTGCATCAAAACTTCCTTTGGGTTTAAGAAATTATTCCATCTTTGGAAGCTTGTTCTTAAAGTAACGGTCTCTGTAGAGGAAGGGGAGGCCAGGCCTTGCGAGAGAGTGAAGGGAGAGGTCATAATCAGGAGCCTCCCATCCCCCAGGGGCAGCATGGTGCCTAATATCTGTCCACCCCCACAAATGACGTTGGGCTATAACTTGATCAGATCATTGGGTGTTTATGAGACTTAATGATGCATCATTTGACCACTCCCCTGCAGTCTCTACAAATGTTTAAAGGCTACCACATTTGCTCAGCACTGGGAATACACAAACATGGTATTAGCTTATGATCCTATGATTTCCATGGTATTATGATCAGTATTATTTTCTGGTCCTCTCCAGCCCAATGGCTTTTCCTTCTCAGCTTCCCAAGACCTCTTTCCCTCTGCCTGACCCTTTAGTACTAGTCCCCCAGGGTTC